GGGAATGAAGGCTGTATAGTAAAAGATACAGAGGCAAGGAGCGATGGCTAGAGAGATAATGTGGGCATTAAGATACTTGCCTTAAATGCAGCTGCTTCAGATTCAATGCCCGGCATGGCATATGGTCCCCAAAGCCCTGCCAGGAATTATTCTTCAGCACAAATCCAGAAGTAAGACCTGAGCACATTGAGTGTGGCCCTAATTACCACCCTCATGCCAAAACTCAGCCCTAGGATAGTACAAGGGGCAAGACATTTGCCTTGCATGCAGCCAACTCCAGTTTGATCCCTATCACCTGTATATGATCCCCTGAGTTCTGTCAGGAGTGATCCCTGAATGCAGAATCAGGAGCAAGCCCTGAGCCCAGTTGGGAGTGGTCCCAAAATCAAAACAGAATAAAAGAAAGAACTTCCTTTCTCCTTCTCTTCCTCTCAGATTATGAGGCTTGGGTGTATTTTTACCACAGCAGTTTAAGGAAGCACGTATAACCTGGAGTAGGTCAGGAGAGTCACACATGCCCACCAACTGACCACAGTGATTGATTCTGGGATCGTCACAAGTCTCCAGTAGGGCCAGTTAGCACCAACTAAGTCAATGTAGAGGCAGTATGCTCAAGCTGGTAGCAGAATGGCAGCCTCTTCCACAGCACAGACATATTTTGATGAGGATGAATTCAACAAGCAGAGAAGAAAGCCAAGAAACAGAGAGAAAATCCTGCCATCATCTGGTATATCATGTGCATAAATAGGTGAGAGAGACAATCTGTATAATTGATGATAGGTAGATGACAGATAGTGGACAATGATAGGTCATTACATTTTTTCTTGTATTTTTTTTTTTTGTTTGGTGGTCACATGCAGAGAAGCTCAGGGTTTACTTCTGCTTCTGCACTCAGGGATCACTCCTGGCAGGGCTCAGAGGACCATATGGGATGTTGGGGATAAAGCCAGGGTCAGCCACATGCAAAGCAAGCACCCAACCCGGTGTACTATTGCTTCTGCCCCTACTTTTCTTTCTTACTTTTAAATCTGTTTTGGTCACTTGGAGGCCCAAAAGCCTGGCTTCTTGGGGCATGCCATTTGAGAAGATGATCTGGGGTAGGGGAGGGAGAACACTGGGGAAGGGTGAAAAGCTGATGTCCTTGGGCTTCAGGGCTGAAAGCCTTCACTGCAGAGACACACAGTCCAGTGAACTCGCTCTGCCCCTTAGGTGCTCAATAACCAAACTAAGAGGACTTTCCTGTCCTGCACATAAGCTTGACTGAGAGCTGAGCTAATGTATTATTGATGAGCCATAAATAATGGGGCAACCATGATTTCCTATTCAGTACCGGGGAACAAAAGCATAACAATGACATTTTAATGAGCTTTTTTATGATACAGGATCACTGTTTATACTCTGGAAATGTGGGCTGGTTTTCTCAGGAAAGCATTTTTCCCTTTACATTTTTTTTTATTTCCCTCTTCCATTTGTCAACATTCCTTTGAATATACATATGGATAGTGTTAAAACAGAGTAAATAAAACCATACTCGAGTGACAGTGTTGCTAGTGTGCCCCAGCTTGTTTAAGTTTTAACTTCTCTATGGAAAAAGACAAGACAATAAGATTTGGGGGCCAGAGAAGAATAGAACTTGTGCCTTTCATGTATGAGGACCTGGATTCAATCAGCAGCAGAAAGAAAGAAGGAAAGAAAGAGAGAAAGAAGGAAGGAAGGAAGGGAGGGAGGGAGGGAGGGAGGAAGGGAGGAAGAGGGAGAGCGGGAGGATGGGAGGAAGGGAAGAAGGAAGGAAGGAAGGAAGGAAGGAAGGAAGGAAGGAAGGAAGGAAGGGAGGGAGGAAGAGGGAGAGCAGGAGGATGGGAGGAAGGGAGGAGAGAAGGAAGGAAGGAAGGAAGGAAGGAAGGAAGGAAGGAAGGAAGGAAGGGAGGGAGGAAGAGGGAGAGCAGGAGGATGGGAGGAAGGGAGGAGAGAAGGAAGGAAGGAAGGAAGGAAGGAAGGAAGGAAGGAAGGAAGGAAGGGAGGGAGGAAGAGGGAGAGCAGGAGGATGGGAGGAAGGGAGGAGAGAAGGAAGGAAGGAAGGAAGGAAGGAAGGAAGGAAGGAAGGAAGGAAGGGAGGGAGGGAGGGAGGAAGGGAGGAAGAGGGAGAGCGGGAGGATGGGAGGAAGGGAAGAAGGAAGGAAAGAAGGAAGGAAGGAAGGAAGGAAGGTAGGAAGGAAGGGAGGAAGAGGGAGAGCGGGAGGATGGGAGGAAGGGAGGAGAGAAGGAAGGAAGGAAGGAAGGAAGGAAGGAAGGAAGGAAGGAAGGAAGGGAGGGAGGGAGGAAGAGGGAGAGCGGGAGGAAGGGAGGAAAGAAGGAAGGATGGTAGGGAAGGAAGAAAAAAGGAAGGGAAAAAGGGAGGGAGGCAGGGAGGGAGGGAAGAAGAAAGGAAGGAAGGGAAGAAGGGAGAGAGGGAGGAAGGGGGAGAGAAAGAGCAAAAGAGAAAAAGGGGAAGGGGAGGCAGGAAATGAAGAATAAAAGGTGGGAAGGAAGGAAATTAGATCTTCTTTAGCACAGTGGAGGAGACGCCCTTCCAGGGAGAAGGTTGCATGTAAGTATCTTCTGTGGTGACCTCTCCAGCAGTGCCCAAGGGGTTCAGAGGTCATTCCTGGGAATGCTCAGCTCTAGTGTGAAAACCTAGTGTTGCTGGACATGAAGACGTGCAGTGCTGAGGATCACACTCAGTACATACATGAACGTGTTTGAACCCTTTGAGTGAAAACCCCTCTTATTTTGGGGCAGAAAAAGTCACGCTACCCTGTCTGAATTTCTACCCCACAGAAGCCAGAAGAGAGAATAAATCATTATAGAAATTTTAAAAGTCTCATGCTCTACCGACTGAGCTAGCTTGGCAACTATATTATAGAAATTTGGGGGAATTGAATTTTGGGGGTATTTGGTTAAGGAGAAATTAATAATAAATGCAATGTAATTTTATCTTAATTCTATAAGGCAGACTGGAGCTCTGTGCATGTGGGAAACCGGGATTTGAACTTGTGATCACATGCTTGCAAGACAGGCGCTCTGGGCCCCTGTGAGGCACTATTCTTCCTGGACCTATTATAATATATATACATATGCACATATATATATTACAAACAAAAACTACAAAACTACAGTTTTGTAGTTTTTGTTTGTAATATGCACATATATGAATTACATATGCACATATACAAATTACAAAAACTACAAAAACTACAGTTTGATCTGTGGGAAAAAAAGACCGTTTTTTATTTACATATGTGTTCGTAGATTTATACTTGTTTTCTAAAGGGAAGGTCCTTATCTTCACTTAGATTCTTTAGAGTAGGTTCCAAGTCAGTTTTAAAATATTTTTTAAAAGAAGAAATATCCCAAATGAAACTGAAAACCCACTTTTCCGGTCTGCATATTACATGAAACTTCCAACATAAAATAAGTACAGTAAATGAGGTATGAAAATTATTTCCTACATAGAGAAATAAAACCACATGGTTAAATAAGGGAAAGGCTGTGACTTGTCTTCAACTGGTGACCAACTGGTGACCATGTAGGACAGGTCTGAACACCATATTTTAAGTTTACACTGAGAAATTTTAAAGGTGCTGGCCTTTTTTTTAAGCCCTTGTATTTGGGAGGAATATTCTGAAATATGTTGAATGAAATGATGTCCGAGATTTTTTCTCAAACTATTACAGATGCTAGGAGCAGGATATAGAAATAACAAGATGGGCCATAATTTCATCATTCTTGCTGGTGCACTATTGAGATTTCATCATATATTGTTTTGTCTGCCTTTGTGTACATCTGAGACATACCATAGTAGCACTGTCCTGCTGTTGTTCATCGATTTGCTCCGGCGTGCCCAGTAACGTCTCCATTGTGAGACTTCTTGTTGCTGTGTTTGGCATATCGAATACGTCACGGGGAGCTTGCCAGGCTTTGCCGTGGGGGCGAGATACTCTCGGTAGCTTGCGGGGCTCTCCGAGAGGGGCAGAAGAATAGAACTCGGGTTGACCGCGTGCAAGGCAAACGCCCTACTGCTGTGCTATCGCTCCAGTCCCAAATTAAAAATAAATAAATAAATAAATAAATAAATAAAAGGGGCTCGTCCAGCTGAGAGCGTCTGAGGGTCAAAATATAACAAAATAAGATAAACGAGAAAGAACTTCTGGGGACAGAGGGGTAGCACTGTGGGTAGGGCGCTTGCCTTGCATGCTGCTATCCTGGGGTCGATCCTCGGCATCCCATACAGTCCCCCAGCACTACCAAGAGTGATCCCTGAGTGCAAAGCCAGGAGTAAACATACCATAGTAGAAAAAGAGAAGCGAACTACTTAAGTAAGGCTTTTCATCACATGCTTTGCATGCAGGAGCCTCAAGTTGGTGGAGCATGGTCCCCCTGGTGAGCACCGGTGGGAGAGATGCAGAGAGAAGCTCCCCGCAAATCCACTGAGCAACTCCAGTTGTAGACCTGACAACCGCCCCCCAACCCAGCCCCAACCACAATCATCAGGATTCCTTGAAGGAATGGGCAAGTGAGTGTGTGAATGAGTGAATGGATGCCTGAGAAGCCCCACCCTCTGTCTTTGGCTCCTTGGGAGGCTGCACCCCATTTGCTCAGCCTCTCTCTCCCCTGCCTTCTGGGCTGGCTTGCAGGTTTCTTACTAATGGTATCTCCTAACTTTTTCATTTCCCCTGGGGAATCCACTGGCCTTGCAACTCAGAAGTTGAGCTCACTTTCCTCCCATAGCTCGCCATTGTCCCTAGTCCCCGAGAAGGCGACAGGGGGCTGCAGGTCTCCAGCAGAAGCCATAGGGCTCCCTTCTCACCTCCCCACAACCCGTCCAAGAGCAGTTTGGTAGCGTCCAGCGCAGCCCAGGGAGAGCGTCTGCGTCGTCATGGCAACACCCGAAGTCACCGGCTGCGGGCTCAGCCCTGCTTGCCTGCGAACCATCTCCAGTAGGAGCGGCCTCTACGTGGGCCCTGGCACCTGGGCCCCTTGGTCGCTGCCGAGCTGCGGAAACAGCTGGAACCTCGGGCGGGTGTCCAGTTGCAAGCCAGCCTGGTACAGGGTCTGAGTTGGGTAGGCCCCCTACTTACAGCAGGAGGGAAGCAGGAGGTGGCCAGGGTTAGAGGTCCACCAGGGAAGTGGATGCATGAGGAGGCCCATGGTGAACTGGAATTAGAGACCCGGTGTAAAAAGGGTTTGGCTGGTGCACTGGCCTGAGGTTCAGGCTGTGGGTGGAAATCAGGGGCTGGAGAGGAGCCGGGGGCAGGTGTTGAAGGGATGGAGAGGGATGAAGCAGGTGAGCCAGAGGTTGTGTTAAAGACAGGCACGTCCTTCACAGAGCCAGTGAGAGGGATGGGAGGGGAGGGGAACAGAGAGCTTTCTTTCAGGAAAGGCTTATAAAGCAGTGTCATCACTGTCTTTTCCTTGATGCTACAGACTCTTTGGAAAATCTACAGTTACTAGTCAAAAACAAAATGAAATGGAGATCGTGCATGGCTCTTCATCCAACTTCAGGGCTTCACAGAGTCCCCAACCTATACAAGGGCCTCGATTCAGAGACTCTGCTGTGGAAGATATAAAGAGGTGTAGGATTTGTATAGTGCTATTACAAAACCAAAAACGTATAAATGATTATAACTAAGTCAATTAAGGAATGGAAGCAGTGGATGATAACAAGTATTCTTGGGTATAAACTCTCTGAGGAAGATCGACTGAAGTGAGTGGTACTGGAAGACATGCTGAGTCAGAACAAGGTCCTCAGGTAGTTCCGAGGGAAGACTTCAATGATGGTGAAGTTTATGACTTCCCTGTCTCCTATTGGACCCTGATTAGAAGTGCATTCCTTGAAGGTAGCTCATAAGGGCCAGTGTCCTATAATCAATGTGACCAAATGACAAAGGGTCTTGTAGTCACAAACATGTTAGAAATCAACTTGGAGAAACCTCAGGAAGAAGAGGCCTGCCTGACTGTTGACTTCAAAATTTTTCCACACTAATTCTACTACTAGAACCTTTTTCCCCCGTCCCTTCATATGCTAACAGCTTGAGAATCACGTCAAGACTGTATTTTGGGAAAAGTTCTTGAATTAAGGACCAGGGAAGGGTTTTGAGCAACAGAATGCCATTTGGTTGTGATATATGTGGTACAAGGAGATTGATGGGATGGCCGTGTGTGGGAATGGAGTGACCAATAGAGAGACTAGAGTCCGAGAGAGCTAGAATCTCCATAAACCACACAGTGATGGGAGATCCAGTTGTCAAGGACTGAGGGGAAAAAAATGTGTGTGGTTTCTCATGACTGATAATACTGCTACTGTTTTCTCAGGAAATGACCTTTGGCTCTAAAAAGAAGACTTCATTTTTCATGAGGCATGGCAGCAGTGAAAACCCCCAGCAGAGAAATAAAGAATGCTGAAGAACCATATGAAAACATATCACCAGTCCTTTTGAAAAGTTTAGTGGAGGAACCCAAGAAAAGGACAGAGGTACCTAATCACCTGCTGGAATCAAGTAAGTCTTATAGAAATGGATTGACTTTAAAGTCTCTATCTTTCCGGAGAACTTGAAGTCCAGAAATTTTTGGTGCTGATCATTCTAATATTGTTTTATAGTCTATAATACTTTGCATTATCAAGAACAAGGGTTCTATTGAGATCTACCCCACTTCACTGATAGATTTTTCAGACATAATCAACTGGTACCTCCTGAAATGTCTTTCCTATCTGTGTATTCTGTCACTTTGCTCATCATCTTTAGCAAGTCATTACTCAATTGTTAGCACTCTCCTTCCTGACCATCCCTTCCTACCTAAATAGTACCCCTCATTCCCAAACCTTTCCTTAATGGATTTACAGCTTCACAGCTCACTCAGTTTCCTTTCTAGGATCCGGTTGAGTATGCTCGCCTGGAACACTCAAATACCAAACTGAGTCCCAATTTATTCACTTGACATTTGTCCCCTGGTGCTGTTGGACAGGTACCCCAGACTATACTCCCTTGCCAATACTTTCCTCTCTTGTTCCCCACTTCCAGCCCTTGACAGGCTCCTGCATTTACTTTAAGTGAATTTTACACTTCCTTGCCTTTTTCTAGGCATATCCCTTAGTTTGGAAAATCAAGTCAGTCCTACAGTTATTATGTCAAACGTGAACCACTTTGCCCATGTTATTTATCCACACAACATCACAAGATATGTTTTATTTCCATTTTGCTACTGGAGAAGCTGAGACCCAAGGTCAAGTGACTCCCCAAAAATGATACAACAAAGCGGACAGCTGATGGCCAGTGTCCTGGTCTTTACCCCTATTTTCAGTTGCTCCCTGCTCATCCTTTAAGACTGTCTCAAGTGCTCCAGCTCCATCTATCTGGTATGACTCTCTATTTTGTCGCCATAGAATTTGTTGCATGCAAAGGATCAGGCTTGACTCTTTTGGGGCATCGATGGAAAAGGTGCCCCTTTATCTGAATTTTTGTGGCTCTAAAAAACAAAACCTTTCATGTTCAATATTTACCCAGTAATGTTCATTTTAGCACCTTAAACATGATTGGAGAGCCTGTAGAGATTGTTGGTCCCTCTGCATCACAACCCTTACCCCATCCTAGCCCTGCAGTTTGGCCCAAGGTTGATGACAGTCACAGGGCACCTGGGAAGGAACAAATAGGAAACACCTCATACCCACTTGAGTTGTGTCCTAATATCATGGCCAAGGGGTGGGCTGGAGGTGCTTGTAGCTCACAGGGGGTGTAGCCTTGGCTACAAGGCTGAAAAGTTATTATTTGTCAGAAAACAGGAAGTGTGTTCAGATAGAGCTCAGCTTGATTGATAATTGCTCTGTGGGCAGGTTGTGTTGTCTTGGTGTGGTTCAGCATCTTCTGCACCCTGAGAATAATACCTACCTCATAGGGTGGGAATGAAGGATAAGAACAGTAGCCCTCTCTCTTGCCTCTTCGTGGTTCTGGCCCTGAAGTCTCGGGTCCAGTCACAAGGGACAGATGACAACTGGGTTCGCGGTGAGTCGCCAGCAGCATCTGCCCATGGTCACGATGAGTTTACCCCTCAGTCCCAAACCTTTCCTCAATGGGTTAACAGGAAAGCCAGTCATGGTGAAACAAGTGGGGAATGAAATACAATGGCTACCTGGTGCTGTAGATGGCTATATGAACATGCAGCTTGCAAATACAGAAGAATACATAGATGGAGCATTGTCTGGACATCCGGGTGAAGTTTTAATAAGGAGTAATAATGTCCTTTATATTAGAGGTATTGAAGAAGAGGAAGAAGATGGGAAAATGAGAGAATAATGTCTTCTGGAAAACTTTATATATATATATATTTCTAGGCAATCAAAATTTGTTTTTCAAAAAGAAAAAAAACCAGTAGCCCACTGTAGCACTGTAGCACTGCCCTTCATTGTTCATTGATTTGCTCGGGTGGGCACCAGTAACGTCTCCATTGTGAGACTTGTTGCTATTGTTTTTGGCATATCGAATACGCCACAGGGAGCTTGCCAGGCTCTGCTGTGCGGGTGGGATACTCTCAGTAGCATGCTGGGCTCTCAGAGAGAGAAAGAGGAATCAAACCCAGGTCAGCCGTGTGCAAAGCAAACACCCTACCCGCTGTGCTATCGCTCCACAAAAATCGTATTGTGGCAGATTCTCCATGCCTTCTCCAGAAGCCATAGCTCCTGCCAAAGCTACGGGAAAGCCTTGTAAAACTGGACACTTTCATAGGTTCCATTTGTTCTAAAAATTAAAAAAAACAAGTAAAAGTAAATTAAAGTAAAGGCCCTCCCGTTGATCATCGATTTGCTCGAGCGGGCCCAGTAACGTCTCCATTGGAGACTTTGTTGTTACTGTGTTTGGCATATCAAATACGTCACGGGGAGCTTGCCAGGCTCTGCCATGTGGGCGAGATACTCTCGGTAGCTTGCCGGGCTCTCCGAGAGGGGCGGAGGAATCGAACTCGGGTCGGCCATGTTGGCTGCGTGCAAGGCAAACGCCCTACCCGCTGTGCTATCAAAAATGGATATTCCTATGATGACAGTAGCAAGTCAAAGACTTTACTAGTCTAGAGTAGTAACTATTCTGAACATTAAGATTACTCTTTCACAAACTGTGATTACATTCAGAGGAAAGCAAAGGATCAGAGTTAAATTTGCAGTAATAAAATTAGACTCTTAGTGTTTGGAGCTTTTGGAATGGATTTTCATTGCACTATAAATAATGGCAGTTAATCAATGCAAAGATAGGACACTTGCTTTTGTTTGTTGTTTCATCACAAAGTCTTGTACAAAATGCAGAAAGAAAACGCAATAGATAATAGACAATGCGTGTGATTGTGCACCATGATAATATCGCTAAATGCCATGTAGAGAGAAGGGAGAGCAGTCAGGTTCATTTGGAGCACAGCATTCATCTTGTTGACAACTTCTTTCCCCATGTGAAATGTTCATTTGCTTCAAATGTCCTCGATTAAAAGAGAGCCCACGGTGGCGGCCTCTTCTTTTATTTTACCTTTTCTTGTATGTCTCATCTCACGATGTACTACTCATCTTCATTGTTTTTCTAGAGATTTATTCAAAACTTCAGTATAATGAGGTCATACAGGCAAAACCCGGCATATTGCATTTTGGAGGCTATCAAGTAGATGAACAACACCAGCAGATTCTGGTAGGTGTTTTCTGAACTGGGATAATTAATCATAAGAACGAGATGACATGAAGATTCTTCATTTGTGTTCCTCATTCATCTGAAGAAGACGTGCAGGTGGGAACTGGGCCTCCCCAAAAAAGGTTCTTCTAGGATGAGGACTTTGGAAGCGGTATCAGTGTCTGCCTGCCAAAGTCCATTGCATTCTTTTAAACAGAAATCTCTGTCAAGTGACTTAGGAACAGGCTAGAAACTGCTCTCATGCCTTACATAATTCCATTTAATCCTTCCACCAGCTCTGTGGCAGTTGTAATATTACTTCCATTATGTAGATGATTAAACTGATATTATACATGCTTCAAGAGTTAGCCCAGGACCACAGAACCAAGTGATGGAGACAGACTGGCCCTTACCCTGCCTTCCTCTGCAACAGGGATTCCTGCTTCTTGTAGACACCACGAGGCAAAAGGGTGTCTTTCTAAGGAGTTGCCAGTAAGGATCCAGTTTTTTTTTTCCTGGGGCCAGAGGTCCATGCCCAAATCAATCATTCTGGCCAGAAATTTTCTGGTAGAACTGGGGTAGCAGAGGTTTAGCATCACTAAACAGGCTCCGAACGAGAGATGAGAGATTGGACTGAAACCCTCCTAGTGACCACAGCCCTCCGCAGAGCCACACTGAGATCCAAGACTTGCCCTGGTGTTCTTTAATGGTCTGAATGTTCTGATTGGGGTATGCTGAAGGTGACCCCAGCAGCCCAAAATTCCATGCTAAAGGGGACCTAACATTAAAAAAAGACATATAGTTAATAGGTGTAAAATATTTTCAAGTTACATAGTTAGAATATTTCTAAAAATAATTTATTTATGGAATGATTGAGGGACATATTTTTTATTGCAGTAACATTGGGGTATGACATTATGAAAGTTTCAGGTACATTACATTATAGTTTTACATTAACAAACACTGCGTCCCGCTCATCACAAAAAGTCTCACTTCTTTCCACCACCATGCACTTGACCCCCTTTGATTCTGCTTTGCCCATCTTCTCTCTCCCTCATAAACACCAGCCTGTTGTCTATATCTGAGCTTGTTTTTATTTTATTTCCTTTGGCCCTTTGCTTTGCTCCTTTATTTTGACTTACTTCATTTGGCATAATAGTCTCTAGGTTCGTCTGTGTTGTTCCAAATGGCAGTATGTTGTCTTTTTCTAAGCAGCTGAATAGAATCCCATTGTGTGTTTCTGGATCCATATATATATATACACAACACATCCTTATCAATTCGTTCGTTATTGGACATTTAGGTTGTTTCTATATCTTGGTTCTCATAAATAATGCTACAGTGAATATGAAGATGCAAATATCCGTGTGTGTGTGTGTGTGTGTGTGTGTGTGTGTGTGTGTGTGTGTGCTGGGGATAAAACCCAGAACCACCTCACACATGTGGTCCACTGCTAAATTAGACCCCCAGCTCATATGGAATTTCAATTTTTTTAATTTTTGAGAAATATCTATGTACTTTCCACAGTGGTTGCACAATTTTACACTTGCAATAGAGTTCAAGAGTTTCCTTTTGTCTACATCCCTACCAATATTTGTTTTTTCTTGTCTTTTGGATAATAGCCCCCTTTTTTGGTAATCATGATGAGACAAACAGTTACGAAGTTGTTTATGATTGAGTTTCAGTCATACGTTGATCCAACACCCATCGCTTCACCAGTGCACTTTTCCCACAACCAGTTTTCCTAGTTTCCTTCCCACCTGCCTCCCCCTGGTCACCCCCACAGCCTGCCTCTGTGGAAGACACTTTTCTTCTCCCTCTTATTTTTCTTTTAGGCACTATGTTTTCAATATTCTTATTAAAAGGGTGTCGTGCATATAATTTAACCTCCTTTTCCCACTCAGTTTTTTCACAGAATGATCATTTCCGACTGTTATTGCCATACCTTCTCTGTCCTAAATGCACTTTCCGAGACTTTTTGTGGCAAGCTTTCTATCATGGACCAGTCCTCCCGGCCCTAGTTTAATAACAGCTATTCTTATAGGGATAAAGCGATACTCTCCTGTGGTTTTGATTTGCCTTTCCCTAATAATAATGTGATGTACATTTTTTCCATGTGTTCATTAGTTTTCTGTATATCATTGAGGAGATCTTGTTTATATAAATCTTCTGCCTGTTTCTGTTCTATTTTATTTTGTTATTGTTGTTCGGGGGTAACATACATTGATGCTTGGAGGCTATTCCTGACAGTGCATGGTGGGGAGTGTCACTTCTAGTGGTGCTCACGGGATCAATGTGGAGTTAGGACTTGAACCGAGAACTCACATGAAAAGCATGTGCTCTCATCCCTTGAGTGAACTTTCTGGGCCTCTGCTGCCCTTTTAAAAATCCATTTCTTTGTTTTTGTTGTCATGGAAGTTATCTATAGATTTTTGTTGTATATTGTGATAAATCCTTGTCAGATGTTTGATTTACTAAGGTCTTTTCCCCATTCATAGAGACACTTTTCATTTGGGTGATGATTTCTTTCACTGTGCAGAAGTTTTTAGCTGTAATGTAGTCCCTTTGGTGTCACTGTCACTGTCACTGTCCTCCCATTGTTCATCGATTTGCTCAAGCAGGCCCAGTAACGTCTCCATTGTGACAATTGTTACTGTGTTTGGCATATTGAATACGTCATGGGTAGCTTGCCAGGCTTTGCTGTGCGGGTGAGATACTCTCGGTAACTTGCCAGGCTCTCCCATTGGTGTATTTTGGTTATATTTATTTCACTTCTCTTGCAGTTGGTGTTGAACTGTAAAGACACTGGAAGATTAAAATCTAGTAGAATACCAGCTCTGGTTTCCTTGGTGTATTTGTGGTTTCAGGGACCTGAACATTTAGGTCAGCTCTGCATCTGTAGTGGCCTCACCCCGATCCCTTAAGATATGTTGAGTAGGATATCTGAGAATCATTTCAATGGAACTCCAGATCCAAGTGAAATGAGTCTATGAGTAGGACAGGGCTGAGGTGGGCTTTCTGCACATAGGCCCCGAGACCCTGGATTTGTTTGTGATGCCCACTGTCTATCCTGTATCCATCTACTCACCCCTTTTTTTAAAAAAAAAACATGATTTTAGGTGTATTCCATTCTTAGAAGTCATGTCTTAAATTACTTAAGCAGATATTATTATTATTATTTTAATTTATTTTACTGGTTTTATTTTGGGGTCACACTTGGCAATGCTCAGGGGTTACTCCTGGCTCTGAACTCAGGAATTACTCCTGGCAGGCTCCAGGGACCACATGGAATGCCAGGGATCGAACCTGCATCAGCCACTTGCAAGGCAAACACCCTACCCACTGCACTGTTGCTCCAGTGCCGTTATTATGATTTTCGTTGTTGTTTTGTTTTTGTTTGAGGGCCACAGCAGCCTGTTCTCAATACATATTCCTGACTCTGGGGTCAAGATTCACTTGTAGGAGTAGTTGGGGGAACCATATCTGGTGCTGGGGATAGAACAGGGGTTCCCCGCTCACAGGGCAGCATCTTTATGCCTATACAATCTCTCTGACCCCAAGCAGATCATTTTAAGAAAGAATTACAGATAAAGACAAATTTTGAATGACCTCATTTATTTGCGGAATCTAACGAATCAAATAAATGAGCAAGTTTAGACATAGAGAGTCGAAAAATGATTGCCAGAGGCAAGAGGTGAAGGGTGGGAGAAATTGGAGCAGAGTATTAAAAAGCACATACTCACAATAAGAGAACAAATAAATCTTGAGCTGGAGAAATTGTACAGGGATTAGGGCACTAGCCTTGCACATGGCCAACTTGGGGTAAATCCTGGAATCCCATATGGTCCCCTGAGCACCACCAGGAGCAATTTCTGAGTTCAGGTCCAGGAGTAACCCCTAAGTGTCACCGGGTGTGACCCCCAAACAAAAACAAAACAAAAAAGGAAAATGTGCACCAAGGGAACTATAATTAATAATACTGTGCTGTATATTTGAAAGTTACTAAGGGAATAGCGCTTAAATATTTTCATCAGAGGAAAATGTTTTATAACTATGCCTGGTGGAAACTATGTATGTTATCTAGACTTAGAGTGATCTTTTAGAAATACGTCATTATCTTCTCTACTTGGCATTAATGTTGTCAATTGTTATCTTTTTTTAAAAAAATTCTCCTAACTTTCATGCTCAGAAGAAAATCACTGAAGGATGCTGACCACTTGTAAGGCTGTCAGGAAACCATTTTGGGTTTTCCTCAGGCCATCCCAAACAAGAGAAGAGAATATCTTTTCCTCCTTCCATGCTCAGTAGTGTTGAGGCAAAGGATCAGGAGAAGGGCCTGTGGGTGCCAAGTATTTCCTTTCACTTAAAGGGTGAGGATTTTAAATTGTAATTAAAAACTTCCCCTATCAATCTGCAAGGACACATTGCTGAGAATACAACATCAAAGACCAAGGTTAAGGTTAGTTATTCATTTTGGTACTTACTTTTCCTAGTATGGTATTAGGTTCACTGTCTTGATTATGGTAGACTAGGACTAAAATAGATCCAAAAATGTATTATTCTGAATGATTTATTGTTTATAATAAACCATTCCATTCCCACTCCTCAGCTACTTCCTTCATTCCCTCATCTACCCTACCTCCACCCTGCCCAGCCACTAGCATACTCTGTGATGGTATAAATTTGCCTATTCTGAAACTTTTATATAAATAAATATTATCAGATGTGATCTGTTGTGATAGCTTCTTTCATTTAATGTTTTTCAGGTTTATTCAGCTTGCAACATGTATCCTCCCTCCCTCCCTCCCTCCCTCCCTCCCTTCCTTTCTTTCTTTCTTTCTTTCTTTCTTTCTTTCTTTCTTTCTTTCTTTCTTTCTTTTCTTCCCTACTTTCCTTCTTTCCTCCTTCTTCCCTTCCCTTCCCTTCCCTTCCCTTCCCTTCCACTCCCCTTCCCCCCCCCACTACCCTATCTCCCCCTCCCCTTCCCCTCCCCTTCTTTTCCCCTCCCCTCCCCTCCCCTCCTCTCTTCACCTCTCCCCTCTTCTCCCCTCCCATTCCCTTTTCTTTTTTTTCCTTTTCTTTTCTTTTCTTTTCTTTCTTTTCTTTTCTTTCCCAGTGGTGTTCAGATCCTCCTCCTAGTTCTATTCTCTGAGATTACTCCTAGCAGTGCTTAGGGGTTCATGTGTGCTAGAAATCAAACCCAAGTCTTTTGATGTGAAGCTTGTTCTCAACCTATTAAACTATCTTTCCTTCCATCTTCTTTCTTTTTTTTTAAGGTGAGTAATTTTCCACTGTGTGGATTTGATTTGATCCTCTTTATTCATATCTGTATTTTACCAATTTATTACTTGGTGAACCTTTGGGTACCTGGCTTAGGACTATTATGCTTAATGTTATAAACATCACATGTGTGTTTTTGATAAGATTTTTGTTTTTCTTATTTTTCTGAGTGATTCTTTTTTTCTTTTTTTTTTCGGGGGGGGGGTGTTCACACCTGGCAATGCTTAGGGGCTACTCCTGGCTCTGCACTCAGGAATCACGCCTGGTGGTGCTTGGGGGACCTTATGGGATTCCAGGGATTGAACCTAGGTCGGCCGCATACAAAGCAAACGCGCTTCCCACTGTACTATTGCTTCTGCTCACATGCGTGTTTTTGTACAGACAATTCTCTTGGATATCTACATATCATTATGTAGAATTATTGGGCTATATAGTACATGAGTTTTCTGTGACCAACAAATTACCACAAATTTAGGGCCCTAAGAAACCCAGAAATTTATTCTGGAGACTTGAGTCTAAAATGAGAGTATTTACAGAGCCTTACTCTCAAAACTCACGTGGGGAAACTTTTCTGCCTTCTTCCATCTTCTGGTGGCGCTGTGTGTGTCTGACTTGTGACTGTATCACTCTTGTCTCTGCCAGCATCTTCGCATGACCTTTCCTCTTGACTCCAGGACTCCTCTTCCATCTTCTAAAGGAATATTTGTCAAACTGTGAGAGAGCTCCAGGGACTAGATCTCATTCCTCACATGTTCCACGTCCTGAGTTCTATCCCTGGCACTACATAGCATCTCTTGAGCACAAATGTGTGTGGCCGTGGTGCTCCCAGTAGTGCTAGACCCAAGAAGCTCTGCATCCCCAGGGTTGAGCCTGCACAGCTTTCCCCCAGATAACAGTCATGGTTCCAGGTATTGGGGTACAGACATTTCTTATTTTTTTTATTGAATCACCATGAGATACAGTTACAAAGCTTTCGTGTTTGATTTCAGTCCTACAATGATTGAACCCATCCCTCCACTAGTGTACATTTTCCACCACCAATGTATTCAGTATCCCCCCCCGCCATCCCAACCGTCCCCCTGCCTCTATGGCAGACAATTCCCCCCCCACACTCTCTCTTTTCTTTTTTTTGAATGTTATGGTTTGCAGTACCGATACTGAGAGGCTATCACGTTTGGTCCTTTATCTACTTTCTGCACACATCTCCCATCCCAACCCAATTCCTCCAACCATCATTGACTTAGTGATCCCTTCTCTAGTTCAGTTGCTTCTCCCCCAGTTCATGAGGCATTGCTTCCAACTATGGAGCAATATTCCTGGACCTTGTGTCTACTGTCCTTGTTGTCAGTTTCATATTCTGTTATTTTATATTCCACAAATGAGTGCAGTCATTCTATGTCTGTCTCTGTCTTTCTGACTCATTTCACTTAGCATAATACTCTCCATGACCATCCATGTACAAGCAAATTTCATGATTTCATCTTTCCTAACGGCTGTATAGATTTCCACTGTTGTAGATGTACCAAAGTTTCTTTAACCAGTTGCCTGTTCTCAGGCACTTGAGTTGTTTCGCGATTTTGGCTATTGTGAAAAGTGCTTCAATGAACATACAGGTGCCGAAGTCATTTCTACTGTGCTTCTTTTGCACCCTCAGAGATACTTTTTTTTGAGGCCACCATTCAACTCATTATAGTTGGAATTCAGTTTTTCTCTGGGCTTCCTCTGAGCAGTTTTTCATGGTTCACTGGTCAGTAAATGAACAAAAAGTCTTTCAGAGGAGAAGCAAAGTGAGAGCAGGGAAAAAACTTTCCAGGCGTAGAAGAGACTTTGCAAGATTTAGAAGCACTTTTGTGCAATGTGCAAACCAGTCAATCCAGATTGTAGGATTTGGGGAGAGAAGGAAAAACCTCTTTCTGAGAAAGAGGGAAGGACGTCTCTGTCATTTGCATCACATTGTGCCTAAGCCATTGAAGGCTCTCAATTGACATGCACATAATGAACTCACTTTTTGGGCAAAAAAGGTGTGGCAGAGATTCACTGAGACCAGGTAAATGCAGTATAAAGCTTAGATAGCCACACTGCTCATATCAGACATTACAACAAACAAATCAATAATGGTAGAAAATGATTTCTTATTAGCATTCTGGGAGAGTCAGCCTCCTGTCCCCCTCAAGAGTCAGGTGGATGCTTAATAGGATTACCTTGGGATTCCTGCCAGGCAAGGGGCAAAATCCAACTTTGCTTTTATCTTGAGTTTACTACAGGAAACTATGCAAATGACACAAGAATGGAATGACTATACATGTGTTTAAAACCACAAGAAATTGCTCATTAATATCTGAGATTGATCTAGATCTATCTAAAGGCTCTAAGGCAGTTTACTTGGATTCATAATTAAATTAACATTTTAATTTACTTTTAAATTCAAAACAATTATTTCCAATTTTCTCAAGAGCAAAACATCTTAAATTTTCTTTCCTTCTGTGGAAAGATTTTGTCTGGAGGAGGGGGATGGGGAGGTGGTGGTGAAAGAGACTAAGGTAAGGTAAGGTAAAGGCCCTCCCGTTGATCGTCGATTTGCTCGAGCGGGCCCAGTAACGTCTCCATTGGAGACTTTGTTGTTACTGTGTCTGGCATATCGAATACTCTCGGTAGCTTGCCGGGCTCTCCGAGAGGGGCGGAGGAATGGAACTCGGGTCGGCCATGTTGGCTGCGTGCAAGGCAAACGCCCTACCCGCTGTGCTATCGCTCCAGCCTGTGAAAGTAAATAATTGGTCAGCTTTCCCACAGGCAATCAATGCTGCTGTTTCCAGCCCAAAGCATTGCTCTATAGCCCTATTTTACAAAAGTTAATAGTCCCCTAGATTTCCTGAAATAATACTATTTGTTTTCAGTTCTCTTCTGAAGCATTAGAGATCATTTGAGGGTCTTGCTTCTCAAAACTGTCTTTAGTGTGTGAGGATTGGGAGAGGTAGAACCACAGTACAAAGAAAGTACAATTTTCTGGAGAGTCAGTTTTGCAGGCACATTTTGGCACATTGTAGAAGGAATATGCGTAGTCAACATTTTAAGAAAAAATGATGTCACTGTCTTCCCATTGTTCATCGATTTGCTAGAGTGGGCCCAGTAACATCTCCACTGTTACAACTGTTACTGTGTTTGGCATATCAAATACCACGGGTAGCTTGCCAGGCTCTGCCAGTGCAGAGATACTCTCTGAGAGGGGCGGAGGAATCGAACTCGGGTTGGCCATGTTGGCTGCTTGCAAGGCAAATGTCCTACCCACTGTGCTATCGCTCCAGCCCTAAGAAAAAATACTTAGAAGAAATGTAAGGTAGACCAGAGAGGTAGCCTAATGGGCTGATAACATGCTTCACATGTGGGAGGGACACCCTGGTTTGATCCCTGGCACCACATGGTCCCCAAACATGACCAGGAATATCCTCTGAGCACCACCAGGTATGACCTCAAGACAGACAAAAAGTCACACACACAAACTAACATACATACACAGAGATAGAAATGGAACTGACCTGCTGACAACAGGTAAATAGAAAGATGGGCATTGCAGTGTGGGAACTGAAATCAGCAGAGTATGCGATATTGGGGTGCCATGGATGTAGTCTTCATGTGCAGATGGGGAGCAGCCCATATCTGGGTCAACTGTGCTACAGGCACGTTGGAGGAAGCACATGGTTTTCTTTAGTTCTTAGAATCACATTCTGGCCCAGGCGCTCACGCACAGGCGCTGAATTGATATCCAGTCTGGAGTCCTGGCTCTTGTTTCCGGCAGCTTAGGATGTGGCTCCTGCAAACCAGTCTGAGCCCACACAATTTGGACAGCCCAGGAGTCAAGGACCATGTGAAGGACAATCTGAAGGGACTGTCTACCTGGCTCCATTTCAGGGCTGTGGCTATATGCATAGTCAGGCATTCCGTGTGTGGTCACTACAGCTGTGCTCTCTGTTCTCTGTCCCATAAGGGCCCACTCACCCATTTCCAGCTCTATAAACAAGCCACTCTCCATTGTTCTTTGGGTTTTGCTGATGCTCAGCCATAGCTGTTCCTCTCCGGGGCCCAAAAAATTGTACAAAGGTTAAGGAACTGGGACACTGCTGGTCCCAGTTGGCTCCCAGCACTCACATGTTGTTGCTCAAACACCACCAGGCTATGGCCTAAAAACCCAAACCCACCCCACTCCCAAAGAACCCTCCACTAAATTGCAGTTCCCTCTTTCCTGCATATGGTGTTATTTCCACTGGTGAAATAACTGACTATTTTGAGTTAAAGTTGACAGTAAGCAAGTAGATAGAAAGCAACATGCTCACGCCTAATGCTTTTTCTTCTCTCCCAGAGCCTGGTCAATATTTCCAACGATGCCACCCACATACATATCTTACCCCCGCAGACCAAGTACTTCCAGATCAAGTACGTGAAAAAGGTAAGCTTCCTTGGGGGTTACCTCCTGTCCCACGGTGCTTTTATCTGGGCCGTGGCTTTCTGTATGGATAGACATACTGTATGTGGTCACTCAGCTGTGCTCTCTGTTCTCTGTCCCCATAAGCGCCTACTTATCTTCTAGGAGAACCGCCTGGTCCCTGGCTTGTCCCTTAGCATCACCGTCACATTTTCTCCGGATGAGTGGAGGTACTATTATGATTGCATCCGCGTTCACTGCAAGGTAAGTTTCTTAACCCTTGGGGAGGAAGAAAGCGGTGGCAAAACTCATTCTTGGGCTGGAGAGATAGTAGAGTGGGTAGAGAACTTGCTCTCTTGCACACGGGGCCAATCCTAGTTTGAATCCCTGCTTGCCTATGTAGTGTCCAGAGTCCCTCCAGGAGTGGTCCCTGAGCACAAGCCAAGAATAAACCTCAGCACAACTGGTTTACCCCCAACACACACACACACGCACAAACACACACACACACACACACAACCCATTAAATTCCATTTAAAAGGTAAAAATAAGTACCATATGACCCAACAATACCATGCTAAGGTATTTATCTGAATGAAAGGTAAAGGCCCTCCCGTTGATCATCGATTTGCTCGAGCGGGCCCAGTAATGTCTCCATTGGAGACTTTGTTGTTACTGTGTCTGGCATATCGAATACATCACGGGGAGCTTGCCAGGCTCTACTGTGCAGGCGAGATACTCTCGGTAGCTTGCCGGGCTCTCCGAGAGGGGCGGAGGAATCGAACTCGGGTCGGCCATGTTGGCCGCTTGTAAGGCGAACTAATTCAGAAAGATGTACACACACCTATTTTCATAGCAGCATAATTTTCAGTAGTCAAAGTATGAAAACAGGAAGCATCTGTCATAATGACTGGATAAAGAATTAGCGGTGGTATAGGGGCCAGAGGGATAATATAGAGGGTAAGGCACTTGCTTCATACCCACCTGATGCCAGTTTGCTTCTCATACACACCTGACCCCAGCACCAACGATGCCACCCACATACATATCTTACCCCCGCAGACCAAGTACTTCCAGATCCCCTAAGCACTGTCAGAAATGATTCCTGAGTGCAGAGCCAGGAGTAAGCCCTGAGCACCCCTGGGTGTGGCCCCCAAACCAAAAATGAAACTCAGATGCCCAAGGGAGGACGAGACGAGTAACAAGTAGGATGTTTCTCTGCCTGACGCTCAGCCTCCCTGTATGGCCTGTCTGTGAGTCCTTGTCTGGTGACCCGGGTCCCGGCAAGGTGAGCGAGAGGCTACCAAGATGAAGAGAACACCCGAAGATGCTGTTCACTGCAGGCTTCTCACCTGCCCAGGCTCACAGCCTCACCCCTCATGTGGTGCTGTGTGCTGACAGGCTTCTTCAGATAACCTAAACACTCCCCTTAAGTGCCAGATTTAAAAGCTGACAATAGCGCGAGCTGTGAGTACAAACACCAGAGACTGGATGGTATCTCCTATGGGAATGTCCTCAGAGGTAGTATGGGTGGGCCTGCAGGGAGCTGGGAGCCTGAGAGGCCACGCTTCAGATGCCAGTGCTCTAGGAGTGCGAATGGGCTTTTTCTAGGTTGCCCAGCCCAGCCTTTGGTGCCAGCTGGGTCAGGCTTCTGTGCAGTCAGCCCCCTTCGAACCAGCTCTCCCCTCCTCACTTCCCTTTGCTCCATTCTCCACTGTTGACAAGTTGAGAAGCTTTCACCGAATCAAATTTAGCTTTTCACACAACAGTAATTTAGTATTTTTAGTAACAAATGACTCTCAGTTTTCCTGGGTCACATATTTATTTATTTTTTGTGGTGCTGAGGATGGAACCCAGGGCCTCATACATACAACCTAGTGGTTCCACCCCAAGCCATGTTCCTGGTCCAAGTTTTAATTTGAGGGGGGCGGGAGGGGGATAAAACCCACACTGAAAAACAAAATCATAATATTGTTCTCAGAAGGAACATTTTGTGCCAAGGAGAAAATGTCTTAGATCAGGCATTGTGTAAAGTACCAACGAACGCTTTGGCAATAATGCTCATTATTCCTGTCAATTATACAGTACATTTTATTTTTTAAAAAACATCATTTTAATCACTTTACGGAAACAAAGAACTGTCACCAGTTTGCAAATGAAGAAAGGAGACCTAGAAAGGTCAAGGGTGTTGCATAAGGTCACGAACTATGGGTCCTCTTGCCTGTTCACTGCTTGAGACTCATCACTTTCTGCAGCAGCTGGGCTCTGTACTAGTTTCTTTCTCTCAGGTTTGCATTTCCTTATGAATTTCTGAAATAGGAGCAGACACATACTGTGTTCATAGCTGCCAGACTGCTTCATTTTCTTGATCAGCTTTCGTGGATAATAGCAATTCTCATTTCAAAGGAAAGTCCTTAACTTTCTTTAAATGATAGAAACCCAAAGCAGCTGCAGGTTCACTTTTGGAGTTTATAGTTTTCTCTGTTGTAACCTTAACTTTTTATCCCATTAATTTTTAGGGGGATGACACTTTGCTCATTCCTATCCATGCCTATCCCATCATGAACACATTGGATTTCCCCTCATTTATAAATCTATCAAACGTTCTGCTTGGTGAAAGGTGAGTGACCAAACTGAACCGCCCCAAGTGCCATAGGATATAATGAGTAGAGATACTCACATAAACAGGAACCTCGATTCATACTTTTTTTTTCCAAGTGGGAAGTTACTCTTTCTGTTGCAGTAAGCTGAACTTGTAGCTGCAAAGGCAAAACCAAAATAAGTCCTAAGTGAAAAAACATAGGCAAGAAAGGGAATTTATTGGGTCTGTGACTGAAAGGTCTTCAGGCACGCTGGGTCTAGGCAAGTCAAACCAGGCTAGAGGAACTTGACTCTCCCCATCTTAGTTTTGCTGCTCTTTGCAGCTTCTCTTCCCAACAGGCTCCCTTGAAGCAGCCAAGAGAGCTGTCAGGTGCTCCAAATACTACAGAGGCGGTTAGAAGGGCTTGGAAGCATTAGATACATCTAAGCAAAAATCTCGGGATCGATCAGGGGTGTCACTACATGGTAAAGCTCATACATGAGATGGATAAGCACCTGGGTCTGATCCCTGGCATGCAAAAACAGCAAGAAACAAAACAGGGAGGATGAACAAACAAGGCTGAGTCTTATTGGACTAGCTTGGAGCTCACCCATCCACTAACCAATCTCTATTGTAAGATTTGGGGTCAACCCAGCAATGCTCAAGATCTCTCCTGACAGCACTCAGAGGACATAGGTAGTGGGGGTGGTGGTAATTGGAGTTGGCAGTGTGCAAGGCAAGAAACTAAATCCCTGTAGTATCTCCCCAGATCCCAATATCTGTTTATTTAAGATGGGGGGGGGGGGGGCATGAGTGCAGGGAAGGCAAACACAAGAGAGTCAAAAGAGAAATCAAGTTTCAGATTCTGCCCACACCGTCCTTGTTGGGAAAACTGTGATTCCAAATGTATTTTAAACTGTGCCTATTCCTTTTCCCCACCCAAATAAATAGTTCTTAAAGACTCGCTACCATACATGGTGTTGCTTTTCATCTGTAGGGATATATATTTTTAAAAAGTAACTTTTGAGCAGCTGTTAGATGTTGATGTGTAATGGTCAAGTCAGTTGTTAAAATGCTGAAATACTATCCTTTTTGGGAAATATATAAGGTTCTAAGTCTCCTTTCCTCCCTGCCAGCTGCCTGGCACTTCTGATCTCTTCTGAACCATCCAATGGCTTCTGTAAATAGGTTTTTATTACCTATCAGTTTGGGGGTGGGCAGAGAGACCTGTAGGATCCTCACTCGGCCTGTCCCCATTCTACCTGAAACTGCCTGTGAGGCTCAAATTGACTTTTGAATGGTAAGCCAGGCATAGAGCCTACAGAGGGCTTGAGACACCCCCCTACCCATCCACCTCCGCCCCTGCCAAATAGGCAGAGATGTGGTCGGGCGTGACTTTCCACGCCACTTTCTTAACAGTCTCATTTTGGAGTACCCTCTGTGGAGAAGCAGCTGCAGGGGAACCTCTCTAAGCCCCTCAGTGAGTTTCCACGAGGTCGGGGCGTCCGTTGCCATCAGCTGCATCATTTTCATTGGCTGGCCCGATGGGTGTGAATTTTCCTTCCTGAGGCAGAACTCCAGGTGGACCTTTGCCAGCCACCTGTAAACAACCGCAGTGGCCTGGTAAAACAAGCTTTGACAGCTTCTCTAAATAACAGAAAGTTGCCTCCCAGCTTCTTTCCGAGTCTCTAAATCAAACCTGGGGGTGGCTCTGCTGTCTTCTCTCCTGTAGGTGGGAACTGTTGTTTATGGCTAGGTGGGTTACATCTCGTCATTACCTCATATCATGCCGAGGATCGTAGATTAAATACACCTAACCCCTTCTACATATCCAAGTAAGGGAGAGCCATGCTTAGACGGGGTAATGAAATGTTCTATCATTCCATTCCCATGGTTCTAAAATGAGTCGTGAATTCATCATGCGCGGCAGTTTCTTTAGAAGTGTACGCTCAGCACCAGCTGACTGAAGCCTGGAACCTGTCCAGGTAGTTGGCCGGTGGCTCTCTCCACGCATGTGGCACCAGGCTGACTTTGTGACCACTTGGCCAGTGGGCTCTGGGCATGGGGCCACGAAAGCCTCCTGACTTCTCTGCCCTACCCTATTCTAACCCTCCCCCCGCCCCAACCAGGAATTGGTCCTCTGGGCAAGTCCTCTTGCTATCAGAGCCTGTGGAACTGCATGTTTCTCTCAAGGCGACGGATGCTCTGCAGCTCCCGGGCCCACCGTCACAATGCAGGTGGTAAAGGTCTCTGGCGACATCACTGCAAAGCCAAGATATTTCAGGCTTTGGAATGCTCATGTTGGAAGATTTGCAGAATTTACCAAAGGATGCTTTTCCTTAGGCAGTGGACTACATGGTTTGTTTCAGAAAATGCAGGAACAAGCCAGGTTAGAACAGGATGTCCCAATGCAAACCCTTCTTCCGGCATTGAACACGTCGCCACAGAGAGTGAGGGTCCTCCAGCTGGCACAGAGAGGGAAAACTGGCCCAGCGTCCATGGCAACTTGTCTCAAATGGGGCCAGTAAAGAACGTTATTGTGGAAGCAGCAGTGATGGCATCAGAATTTTTGGAAACTCTCCCTGCCAAGAAAATACATTGTCATTTCTCAACTTGTTGAGGGAGAGACATTCTTCCTTCATCCTAGCAACTCATGTATGTTCTGTGTCCCAATCTCAAAGCTGATTTGATGGGAACATTCTGTCCAGTGTGACTTGAATATATCAATACTCTGGTACTCTGCTTCAGTCCCAGACTTGGTGTATGAAAGAATGATGAGCTTATATTCAAAAATTGCTTCAAATTGATATTCAGATAAAACAATCACTGTCATTTAACAATACCCAGTTTTTTTACTTATGAAAAATACTTTTCCCACCAACTTTTTTTTTTGGTGGGAAGGTCAGTATGGGGTCACTCCCACTGGTGCTCAGAGGCCTTTCCTAGAGGGTTTGAGGGACCAGATGTTCTGGGGATTGAACCAGATTGGCCAGATGCAAGGCAAACATTTTAACTCCTGTATTTTCTCTCCAAATTCAAAAAATTTCCACAATTTTTTAAAAGGTTTTTTTTCCACAAAATGTGCATTGGGGGGTTGTATTACCATTTCTGCAGGTGAGAGAGGGCATCTGTCACCTCCGACTTCTGCAGTTCCACTGATCTTTAGCCAAATAGGCAGCCATGACCTTGTCTAATTCTGCCTGTTCCCTAGAGCTTTCACCAGAAGTCTGCCTTTCCCCGTGTTAGGGAATTGTGGCCAAGGATAGATCATGGGGGTGTTTTACCATGAGGAAGGCCTGGTAAGGTTGGGAATCCCTTGAACTAATGGCAAGATAGGGGCTTGCAGGCAGGGCTGGGAAGGTAGTATGGAGGTTAAGGCCCATGCCTTGCATCCAGTCTACTCCAGTTCAATTCCCAGCACTGAAAGAAGACCCAAGAAGACCCATCAGCTAGAGCTCTAGGGCTCTGAGCATCTCTATTGGATGCCTCTAAAACTGGACTAAGCTTAGCCATGAGTAGGGTGGTGCTTAATTATTTTGGTGCAAAAGATAAATTCCTACTCCTTGAGCATCCCCCTGACTCAAATTATTTTTGGTATTTTTCTTTGTTTGACTGTGGCATGAGGCATCATGCTTCCACTCTCGTTCTGCTCAGAAGCCCCCATCCCACTGAGATGAATCATGTCTTTGGAAATAAGATTGCGATGGACGAGAGTTCATAAGAACATGCATTATCTTGGCTAAAAGGGCCTTTGTTTGACTTTGAGCTAGAATTTATCCTAACTCCTCATACCTTTTCACTTGGGCTTATTTGGGTAACAAGGGGGTGAGGGACTGGCTAGACAACAACCAGCCATTCTATCTGATTTCGGTTGCTCTTGAACTAATTCTAAATGCAACAATTGACATCCAAAGTTTCAGTGAAAATAATGGACCCATCTCCAGATCACTCCCTTCTTGTCCAGATGCACACCAGTTCTTGGAGCGGAGCAGGCTATGGAACGTGGGGCAAGAGGTTTGGGGATTGAAGAGCCCTGTCCTGATTATTAGCCCATTAAAGGAAATGCCTTCTTAAAAATCCATCAGGTAGGGCTGGGAAGATAGTCTAGGGGTTCAGGTACATGCCTTACATCCAGCCTACTCCAGTTCAATTCCCAGCACCACATGATCCCTGTACTCCTGCATTGAATGGAGGGGCCCCAGGCTTCCTAAACATCATTTGGAGACACCCCCCCGACTCCTGCCACCACCAAAGTTCAGCAAATAAAGCATAGAGGGACTGTTTTCAAAGAATATCAAACAGTAGAGAACTACAGTTTACATAAGACAATTCCTTAGCTAATCCTTAATATTAGAGACCTGAAGAACTGTCAGAGTACTGTGGTTAAAAGCACAAGTTCAAACTTTAATCTCTGTTTCATCTCTTATGGCTGTGTGATGTTTGACAATTGTCCATTCATTTCTTGGGAAGTTCTCCTTATTCCGATGCTCTTTTGCTTAAATTATATGTGGGCACAACAACTCATGGCCAATTTGTCATGCCTTCTGAATGTAGCATATTAGAACACGTTAGCATTTATTATGCACATTGTCACTAACCATTCATTGTCCAATAAAGAACCAAATATTTCTGGGTGGGAAAGGAAGTACATCTGGACGAGCTTATTCCTGGTTTAGAATCACTCTTAGAGGGGCTTGAGGGACCCTATGCAGTGCTAGGGATTGAATCTAGGTCAGCCACATGCAAGAAAAATGCCTTACAAACTGTATTATTTCTCAAGCCCCCAAATCTTCTTTATTTAAAATGACCCCTTTGCTCTACTCTCCAAACACTAAGATCTTTCCATTTTTGAAGATATTTTTTATTTTGCTATCTACAATAAGCTTATACGATCACTCATTCTCTGAAAAATTAGTGAGTACTCCCTTAAGAAATGTTGCATTGAAATTTAGAGCCAGTGGTCTAAGAATAAGATCAGAATAAGGCCAAAATATGTGTTATATAATTAACTGGAAATTAATATGATATCTGGCCTTCTACTGGCATTTACTTAGAGAAGTGACAAAAAGGAAACCTAAATTTATATTATTATTTTATAATATTTACTTTCTGTAAGACAAATTTGTTCTCTCCTGTAGTAGGCACAAAATTTATAGGTGATTATAATATAAAGCTTGGTTTGGGCTTCGGTTGGACTTTATTTAAAACAGAGAATAATTCTTCTAAAGTACTTTACCTGGGTCAGGAATGTGACTCAGCAGTAAAGCAGTTGCCTTGCATTTGTCAGGCCCTGGGTTTAATTCCTGACACTACTGAAAAATAGTAAATAAAATATTTGACCTACTGTGATACATAGCCTTTTGCATAATTGATGAAATGTTTAAACAACGGTATGAAAAAGAGTAACAGGGATGAAAAAATCAAAGTAATGGGGATATAATTTGTCCTTATCTTCCAAAAAATTACTTCTATCTGCTCTAATATCTGAAAGGCTAATATTTTTTCCTTAAATTTTTATTAGTGAAACACCATGAGGTACAGCTGTAGACTTACAAATTTTTGTGCTTGGGTTTCAGTTATACGATGATCGAATACCCATCCCTCCACCAGTGCCCATTCTCCACCACCACCAGGCCCAGTATCCCTCCCACCCCCACTCCCCCATCCCACACTACCTCTGTGGCAGGGCATTCCCTTTTGTTATCTCTCTCCCTTTGAGTGCTGTGGTTTGCAAAAGAGACATTGAGTGGCAATCATGTTCAGTCTATAGTCTACTCTCATCACACATCTCCCATCCTGAGAGGAACCTCCCAACACCCTTTATTTGATGCTCTCTTCTCTATCTGAGCTGCCTTTTTGAAGGGCTAATATTTTTGAAGTCATAGAGAAACTATAGCTCAGGTTTCAATCTTCTTTTAAGGAACAATAGGCATAAGATGTATATGATTCTATTTCTCCATTTTGTAGATCAGGTTTTTTTTTTTTTAGCAATGGGAACTTAGTTTTCGAATTTTTAATTCCCCCTCGCCCCCAGAATCTGACAGGATTCTGCTTTTTCAAATGTGTTCTAAATAAACTAATCCTTATATTTGTTAAAATCCCTGTGGACCCAAATATGTCTGAAGTGCCCCTGCTATGTATTCAGGTGGGCACCCACATAAATTTGACACCCATAATAGGAAAAGCAGTAATGAGAGTGGGGCTTAATGATTCCTCTCCATTTTGTACCCCTCATACCTTCTGAATCAAGGTACTTGGAATTGTGTGCCCTTAAGCACCTGTTTGGTTTTCCAGACTAGTTCATGCATTAGGCACTTGGCTTCATGTAATCATCACTAAGTAAATATCCTGACACCTTTTCTATGAGAATTATCAGAAGTCTGAAGTTAGTTAAAGAACTGGGCAAAGGATGAAAAGCACCGGCAGGGTTTGCTTGTTTTTCTCTTCCAGTTCAGAAAAATGCAAACATTCAATTCTCGTAGAAGATTGCCCGTAACTTAGGCTGCTCTGCTGAGGCCTCGGACACTGAGGAAGAGTCGGGATCTAATCTTCAGACCCTGTGTCTGTGCCAATGTCATGCTTCACTGTGACCCTGAGCCATGGCTCCCTCCATCTTGAGGGGCATGTGCCACTTGTAACGTGCGTTTGGTCTCTCCAGTCAGGGCCATGAAATAGCTGATGCTCGGTGGGGCCGGAGGGTCTGTGAGGTTGAATGGCCTGGAAAGTGCAATGAGCACTGTGTTTCAGGGTTAGGAAGCAGCACAGAGTTCAGATGGGCTGGTTACTTCTAGTGGATCCTGTTTATGGACAGGATCGATAAATTTGATTGAAACAATGAACTATTCATCTCATTTGATGCCTGAAGAGGTTTCCATGTATGGTGACCCCAACCCAGCATTGACATCAGTGGATAGAGCGGACAAAAATTAGTATCAAGAATTTGTAGATTAGGTAGAGAACGGACAACCAGTAGAAAAATGGGTACAGGATTTACACAGGCAATCTCAGAAGAGGAAACCCAAGTTAGTGCATATGTATAAAAGCTCAACCTCAAAGAAATGGCTATAAGATACCATCTCGCCCTCATTGGATTAGAAGAAATTAAAATGCTTGAAAAGTCACTGTCACTGTCTTTCCATTGTTCATCGATTTGCTCGAGTGGGCCTAGTAATGTCTCCATTGTGAGACTTTGTTGTTACTGTGTTTGGCATATCAAATACGTGAGATACTCTCGGTAGCTTGCCGGACTCTCCGAGAGGGGTGGAGGAATCAAACTTGGGTCGGTCGTGTTGGCTGCTTCCAAGGCAAACACCCTGCCCGCTGTGCTATCGCTCGGACCCCTTGAAAAGTCAAAGGTCCCATATTCTGTTAGTGGGATTATGAATTGGTAGGATGACAATTATTTTGCAACAACAAAAACATTGTTGTTTGGTTTTGTTTTGATTTTTGCTAGAGCTTTGGGTAAATCGCTAGTTTGGGGTAAAGATTTGTTAGTAGTGAATAAAGGGATATTTATTTTACTATTCTCTCTGTATTTTTTAATGTAACAAATTAACCCCACCCCCCAGTTTTATTGAGGCACCACGATTTGCAATACTATTAGTGGTAGAGTTTCATGCATACAATGACCCAACTCCACACCCACTGGAATGCCCACTTCTTTCCATTAAAGTCCCAGAGACTCCTCTTGTCTTGTGTCTACCCTCACTCATGTAAGCCCAGTTCTGGCCAGTCAACCTGCATTCACTCCAGGTTCTATCACTAAGTTGCCTGGACAGGACACTTATCCTTTCTTGTCCCTCTGTTTTCTCTTTTCTAAGGAGAAATAATCTTCATAGCAGGACCTCATAGAATTAGAATTAGTTCATATCTAGGAAATGGGAAGGATAGCTGGTACCTGGGAATTATTCTATCAGCCAGGATTGCTGTAACCACTGTCTACCACATAATTTGCATCTCTATTTTCTGATTGCTAGAAGATTTAGCTACAAAGAAAAAATTATGTTTTGTTTGTTTTTGCAGCAAAAAGTATGTTATTCCTTTGCAATGCAGCTGCCCTGTAGATTTTGAGTTTCATATTACTCTGATGAAAGCTCATCAAGCCTTTACTGTTGAGCCCATATCAGGTAAGGCAAGTCAGTATTGACCATTTCCAATGTCCTTAGAGTTCTTAGGTCAAAGAAGCATTAAAGAGTAAATCTCATACTACAAAAGGGAACAAGCCACATTTTAATATGTCATTTATAAATGTGTAGCTATAACACTTTATGCATATCAGAAGTGATATAAATTGGAAATATACACCTGGGAATGAGGATACTTTGGGGATAATTTGTAGCCTGCAGAAAATTTATAATAGTGTTCAGGTATATTTCCTTGAAAAGTCAATACTTAAAATCAAAAGTTGATTTGATCTCATTTTCATTTTTGGCTCTTTGTAATGTTTGGTATTATTTTCAAGTTTTTAATTCAATTTTAAATAAGATGATGTGGACAGTCTGTCTTTGCTTCACCCAAAGGGAACACATTCCAGTGCCACTGGATAGAAAGTGGAACGTCCACCTAAGGTGACCTCTGCTTCCCAGTGTCCCTCTTGATGTTTAATTTTGGGATATAAATATCTATACATGATGATCTGCTTTGATTGCTGAAATAGTTTTGTTTTTTTTTAAGCTCTACTGAGATATACTTGACAAATAAAACTCTAGGACTAAGTTTTATCAAACTTTTTACCCCTGTTGACTGATGCTAGTCCATAGACCAGTGTTTAAAAGTCATCAGTCTAAGACAGTCAAATCCAAACACAGGGCCAGAGAGGTAGTGTGTGGGCACAGTGAGTCTGACCTGGGTTCAGTCCCCAGCAACCCACAATGTCCCGCAAGCACTGCCAGAAGTGATCCCTGAACGCAGAGCCAGGAGTAAGCCCTGAACACCACTGGGTGTTGTCCCAAACCCCAAAATAAATAGACAAAATACAAACACAAGGATTAGGCATCTACTCACATTGCAAAAGAATGTCCCTGTCAAATTACATATTAGTCACCTCTCACTGCTACCTTGTTGTGTTGAGAATGTTCGTAAACAAATTTCGACTATGAAATAGAGTGTAACCCACTCTAGTAGAGACCTCTCCCTTTTTCAGTGGGACAGGCTCCCAAAGGTGCTGAGGAGATACTGGGTCCCCCTGCAGTAATTCTTGTCTACAGTGGAAGGGCCTGAGAATGCAATGCTACTCAGCCTACAGTGCCGGTGAGACCCAGGCCACTCTACAGTGCTGGGGGGTCTTCAGGGATGCACCTGGAAGAGGGGATGCGATACCGTGCAATATGTCTGTTTCTCTGTCTGGCTTATTACACTAAAAATAATGACCTCCAGGCTTGTGCTTGTTGCGAGTGGCAGGATTTCAGTCTTCTTCGAGTCTGGGTAGTATTGCATCATGTACAGTAACATGTTGTTTAGCAATGTTCGTGACTGTGTATACAACACTGGTTTCAATTGGCTACGCCATATAATCTAGTTGTGAGGTCAGTCATACCATCTAGGTTTGTGTAGTTAAGCCTTATGATGTTCACGCAGATTAAAATCACTTAATGTTGCATTTCTCGTAACACATTCCATTGTTAGGTGACACCTATAAAATATCCTACTTTAAAAAAAAAACCCTTAATCTATTGATGGACCCAGATTGCTTTTATTTTTTTTTTAATTTTTTTTTTTTGCTTTTTGGGTCACACCCGGCGATGCTCAGGGGTTACTCCTGGCTCATGCACTCAGGAATTGGTCCTGGCGGTGCTCGGGGGACCATATGGGATGCTGGGAATCGAACCCGTGTTGGGCATGTTGGCTGCGTGCAAAGCAAACGCCCTACCCGCTGTGCTATTGCTCCAGCCCCCCAGATTGCTTTTAAACCTTGGTTGTTTTGTGTAGTGCTGCAGTAGACAAGAGGGCATAGGCGTCTCTTCAAGATAACGACTTGAGTTTCCTCTAGGAACATTCCCCAAAATGAAATTTCTGGATCTATTGTAATTTTTTAATTTAAATTTTTTTGTTTGTTTTGGGCCACACCTATTGGTGCTCAGGGCTTACACTCAGGGGTCACTCCTGTTGGGGCCAGGGGACCATATGAGGTGCTAGAGATAAAACCCAGATTGGCTGAGTGCAAGGCAAGTGCCCTATCTAATGTCTTATCTCTCCAACTCCCTGTATCTATGGCAATTCTGTTTTAAGTCTTTGGAGGAAACTTCATACTGTGTTCCTTAATGACTTTACCAGATTATAGTACCAAAAGGAACACAGGCTCGTTTTACTCTAGTTCTCTAGGACTTTTATGTTTATGTTTTCAGGTTTATGTTTAAGATTTATCTCACTTTATATCTCACTGTGATTGTTATTTATATGTCTTTTTATATATCTCTGCTATTCATGATACTGAGCCCTTTTCTCTCCCAATAGCTATTGGCCTCTCCCACATTTTCTTTGGTCTTTGGTCTGTTGTTGTTTTTTAATTGGGATATTTATTATTTTTTGTTATTGATTTGTTTGAGATTTTTGTATGATTTGGATACTAGTGCTTTATTGAATTTATGTGCTGAACCCATTGATCTGTCTCCAGTCCTCTGCAAATATTTTGTGAGACTGGGTGTGAGCCCAAGTTCGCTGGTCTCACAGGCATGCTCTGGCTTTGGTTTCCCACTGTTGATCAATGTGTCTTTGTCTCTTGTATCTTCAAAGCTATTGAGTTGAGCAATGACTTTTTTTGACTTTTTGGGTCACACCTGGTGATGCTCAGGAGTTACTCCTGGCTCCGCACTCAGGAATTACAACTGGTGATACTCAGGGAACCATAGAAGCTGCCAGGGATCAAACTCTGGTCAGTCACATGCAAGGCAAAAGCCCTACCCACTGTACCATCACTCCAACCCGGAGCAATGACTCAATCACCTGCAATAAAGCACATTGTCTGCATGGCCCACAAATGGGTAACACAGGCCACTTGTTCATGGGTTTCCTTGACTTACCAGGTGTCTAGAAGCTCAAATAAACCTCCCCCACCTGTGGGGTCTGACTCCTAGACTTTATGATTAGATTGTAGCACTGTAGCACTGTCGTCCTGTTGTTCATTGATTTTGCTCAAGCAGGCACCAGTAATGTCTCCATTGGTACTGTTTTTGGCATATTGAATACGCCATGGGTAGCTTGTCAGGCTTTGATGATGGTTGGACCGTCAGGGATATTTGGGCAGCCAGTACGTTTTCATTACCTTCATTTTCTAGTTTGGATCCAAATAAGCTGATAATACTGGGCTAATTTTAATGTACTTAGCCTGTAGTTTTGTAGATCCTGTTTCTGACACATCTCTGCAAACAGATCTCTGTTTAAAAACCTGTGGCGACATCCATAGTCTAAAATGCTATAAAGCAATCTCTAGGAAATGGATCATCTACATCATTTATCCATGCCTTCCAAGCACTGTGTGCTCAGGCTTGTCAGTGAAAAGATTTAAATAGAGTGACTTCCATGTACAGGCTCTGAATCTGACATGGTCCTGTCAACATTCACTCAACTGCCATTTACCCCCAGGGAATCTTTTAAGGTGCGAGTGAAAATGCATGGGAGTTGATGGATGTGGGGTGTGTGGGTAATGCCCAGAGTTTCCTAAAATTGGAAAAAGAGAAGAAAAGAGTTTGTGACCTTCCTTGCATAGCTGACAGGAAATCAGAAGCAATTAAAACATCAAGGACTCTCTGTTAATAATTTTGGGAAAGTCGGCAATGCACAACTTTAGATAAAATCTAACTAGTATTGGAAACCAGTCAAATGCCACCCGCAAATACTTGAACTTTTTTGCTTTGGGCCACTTTGAGATTCTGGATATTGGCATGGTGTCTCGTACAAGGCAGAAGAATGCATCTACTTCATACAAATGGTGAACTGCAGCAGAAAGTGGCTAATTAAGCAGTTGTTCCTGAGGGCTATCACCCAGTTTATGTTCAAAGTTTTAGTAGCCTTTTTCTAAGTTATGAGATATATCAGCCATTTACAAATAATTTCGTATTTCACATTTTCCTCCAAAAGACAAATTCCTTACTGCTTTGGATTTATTTGGGGGAATCTCAGATGTCTCCCCTTGCTGAGGATACAGACAACCGTTTGGTTGGCCAGGGTCACCCACCTATCAAGCAGCACATCCTGGCAGGAAAGAGTCCCTTTCTCCTAGATAAGCACTGGAACCAAAAACACACTCCACCTGTCCCCTGAGTCCCGGGAGTCTTGGGGCGTGGCCCGTTTGATTTGTGCTTCAGATTGAACCTTCACAGTCTGGCTGTACCTGCACTATCCCCACCCTATCACCTATCCATTCAGGTGTGAAAAGGTGATGAGTGTTTTAGGCACATATTTGGTACCTGAATGCCAAAAGAACTGTGATTGGGGAGATATCCATGGCCCACAGTTTATAAAGCAGCATCTTTAGTCACATCCTTAACCATTTTATGCCTCTTCTCCTCTCCCCCACCAACAAGATTGAGGTTGTTTATCCCGTAATAAGCCTCACCTGTGGGATCTAGACGCCTTTGGCATCCATGGACAAAGCTATTTCTTTCAGGGCCACTGGTAGCACAGGGATCAAGGTGCTTACCTTGTATGCAGATAGCCCCAGTTCAATCCCTGTCACCACATCTGGTTCCCGGAGCACTGCTGGGTGTGGTCAAAACACCAAAACTAAACAAAACTATTCCTTGCAGACAGGAACAAGAATAGATCAGTTTGCCTCATTGCTCCTCCCCTGCTCACCTTACCTGCAGCAAGATGAGCCAGAAGACCCCCAACCCAAACCTGAAATAAAGGATGGGGTAAAGCCTTATGTTATAATATTATGATTTTTTGTGTACACACATACCCATGACAACGTTTAATTTATGAAATAGGCACATTAAGAGATTAACAGCTACAAATAATAATAAAATGGAATGATTAAACAATATACTATGATAAAACTTATGTAAAAATGCCTGCTGTGTCAAAAAAATAATTTCGGACAGAGTATTTGAAGACCATGGTTGTCTCAGGTAACTGAAAAGTCAGAAACTGCAGGAGAAGGAAACATACCATGGGCAGAGCAGACCAG